TACAATAACCAACAGCATAACTTTAAGGAGCAGTTCCTTAGGTCTCTATCAGGGAAAGAACAAGGCCCTGGTCCCAGACACGCTGAAGACAGGAGGGAGGTTGTGGGGGGCTGAGAGCAGGGGCAGAGAATGATGCTAAGCTCTACTGAAGTGTTACTTGGACCTGAGCCTTGCTGACGATGATGTGGGATTTACAGCAGAGCTCTGTGGGGATGCTGCTGTCTGTGCACACCCAGCCAGGCAGTTAACTCTCCTTGGGGCAGGCAGGAAGAAGGACACTTTCTCTAGGAAGCGCACAATACAAGTTGCCCTGCCACTGGAGAGGGACTGCTTGAGGATCTGAACCCTCATCAGGCACTAAACAAGCTAGTGAAATCTATCCAAGTGCCTCCTAGTGGAGGGGTCCATGCTCCAGTGCAGAAGGGCACAGAGCTCTAGCACGCGCACAATTCTAGCCTCACTTGCTGCACAATTCATGCTACTAACTCCACCTCCACAACTCCCCTTCCCCTATCCACCCATCTTCCTCCAGGGGCCACCTCCAGGTGGTAAGTCAACACCTATTCCCCCTCCCCCTAAAGCTGTGGTAAAAGGAGCCTTAGTCCCAGTCCACCTTCAGCCCAAGGGGTGTCCCTGTGTTGTGTGGGCTCTGGGAGGCACTGGATAAATGTGGAGATCCCACTCAACACTTCTGAATGCTGGAAAGGAAAAAGTGCACTCTTACCCTGTGTTACTCTCAGGGTCCTAGCTGCTAACTGCATAGATAAGGGGGTCCATGTCACTGCCTCTACTGCACTGGGGGCCTTACTGCTATTACAGCTTTGCTGAGTGGCAGCATCACTGTTGCCCCTATTCTTAGTGATATGACTGCCACCTGCAGTTTGAAAAGGCTACAGCTGTACCAGACCCACATGCATGTAGCCTCAGGCAGGCAGGTCTTCAATCTTCCACACTGCATTAAGACTTAAGTCCAGGAGATCCATGCAGATCACATCTGCTCTGTGAGCAGCGATGAGACTGAACATTCAGATCCCAATTGTCTCTTACTTCCATAAGAGGCAGCCTTTCACATGGCTTGAGCAACTGCACAAGAGACAAGGTAGTGCAGGGAGACTGCAGCCAGTCCCTTTCACAGCAGCAACACAGCTGCACAGTTCACCGATCCAAAGTGAGCCCTAGGACAGCACCTTCATCTTCCAACAAGCCCAATGCTTGTCTTCCCCACCCTGGCACCAAGAAAGCTAGCTCCTGGATGTGGCTGGTGACTAAGGGGCGGCTTTCAGCAAGCATGAGAGGAGGTTCTGCAGCTGTATGGTGAAAGCAGGTCTGCCTCCTGCCATGAGAAGATGTTTGACAGGATCCCCTCCCAGAAAAACAGGCACAAGGGCTTTTTAAGAGCACGTAGTTTCATTCTATAACAACAGTGTTTCTTCTGCTCCCAAAAGGCTCCCAGTGAAGTCTAAGTGCTCAGTAAGTGTCCAGCTGACCCCTGAGCCTGCCAGACTCAAGCATGGAAGCCCATCCAGCCCTCTGCACTGCTAAAGGAGGTGACAGCAGCTGTTAGTCTCCTAGCAGCACAGGGAAAAAACATATTCACAGAAAAGTGGATGACACGGGATTAAACAGGCAAGCATGAGGGAGTCTTCATGGACAGATATAGCATTTTAAAAAGGGGGGGGTGCAACAAATGGGACCAGCACTGCAGTGGTCTGGGCAAACGCTCCAGCTCCCAATGCCATCCCCACCTTGATCCACACCATGGCCACATCCAACACGAGCTGCTCCACCAAGCACTGCTGGAGATGGAAGATATGCCAGTGGCTCCAGTTCCTCACAGCCCCAGACATCAGGGACCCCTGAGGAGTGTAGGCAGGAGAAACTGAGCTCAAACTATGGAGGAGATTGGGGCAAAGCATGGCCAGAGCTCTTGGGCTGGTGGGGGACATTTTGTTTTGGTTTGGTTTGTTTCTTCTTTTTTTTTTTTTTGGGGGGGTGGGGGTGGCTGCCCACGGGGAGCTGGTCGACCGGAGTCACTGTGTGCTGTGCTTGCAGCTGCCTCTCTTAGCATACCTACATTCTAAGAGGTAGTAATGTGCACACATGTGGAGAGGCAGGTGGCTGGGGAAAGGAGGAGGATGGGTTCTATTCTCAAACACTACTGCCAATATTACTCAAGGACAGGCAATGAAGTAACTAAGGCTGGTTTCAAACCATGCAAATGCTGTGCTCCTCATGCACAGCCTTTGTAGGACTGGCCAGGAAATGGAATCGCCATCCTGAGAAAATTTGAGTTTTTTCAATAAATTCATATGTTGAATCAGAATGAAAACATCAAACAAATATTCAGATTTTCAGGCAACTGATATTCCAATGCATTTCACCCTGGAAACACAGAAACACCCACTCAGCAGGGCTTTCTCAATACCTCCAACCTGAAATGTCTCCCAAATTGACTTCTCCCAGCAGAGCTAGGTCATCATCAGCTTATTTGTCAGGCATTTATCTTGCATAGTCCCCTTGTGGACAGCCAGAAGACTGGGAGGGTTAGCAGGAAACCAGGTTTCCCACTAAAGTTTCAACAAATTTGGTACAGTCCTACAAGACATTTTGATTCTATACAATCTGCCTTTTCCAATGAAAAATCTTCTGACAAAAGTTTTCAGCTGCTCAAGGAGTCTGCCAGTACCAGTAACTGGTGAGATCTTTTACCAGTAGAACAAGTAGTAACGAGAGAAGTAGTGACAGATTCCCAACCACATTCACCATGAAATCCCTGCTAAACAGGAAGGATTGGAATGACATCACATCTGTAGCACAACAGTAAATTCAAGAGAACAGGAGTGAACAACACTGATTGGGATTTAAAAAAAAAAATCAAAAAAAAAAAAAAAATCAAAGTTTGATGACCCTCTCAATTTATTATAAGTGCCACAGAAGATAGAGCATGCATTTGTGAGAGAGCAGGTGTGCACACTGCAGAGTTAAGGCACTTCCAGGTTACCAGGTGGTTACTGTTTATTTGCTCCTCGGGTGAAAACAGATATCGCCCATCACATTTGTGCCACCATAAACATTTTTATGGCACACAAATGGTGAGCAAATAGATGTCACTATCTTTTGTCATGACGCATCAAAGGAAAATCAGTGACATGAAAAAAAGGCAGTAACAGACTTTACTGCTTTATTGCAATGGACATCAGCCTGAGCTGCTTGCACTCTACAACCACATCAGGCAGGTGCCTTGGAGGGAGGTGGAGGGGGGGACCTCAAGACCCTGGAGCACTTGCCTGGCATTCCCTGCTACAGGGGAGGCATCCTGGAGATCTCCATTCAGCCAGAGTTTCCCTGCTTGATTGCAGGAGTGAGTCTGACTGAGTGGAGAACCCCGACTTCCCCATCCCCACTCAGCCAGACCCACTTTCCTCATTCAGCCAAAACCACCTGCACAGATTATATTGCTTTTTGTCCCACATCTTCAAGGGTGGGAAAAGGGGCAACGTGCGTTTCATACAATGAAGCACATCAGCTGTACCCATTAGACAAAACACACATTCCATGACACATTGCGGCACAGCTAATCCACTTCAAATCAGCAACATCTCCTTCTAGCCCTAGTGTCAGATGGCTACAAGTCACAAGGATTTTTTGTGCATTCAATATAATGTAGCATGTGCCTGCCAAGATCCTGCCTGTTCTTTTATTCCATCTTAACCTCTGATATACAAAATCCAGTATAAAAGTGGGTTCAGTTCATGTACACTTATAACCTCGTGGTCCAAAAGGCTTCTCTCTACCTCCAGGCTCAGTAACTTGAGGCCCTACCATTGAATAAGTGAATTCAGACCACATAAAATGCTTTCCTCTATTAACAAGCTTTGTCACTTATCCTTCCACCAAGCTGCTCAAGAAGCCTTTGCATAATGCACTGATGAGAGTCATTACTAGCTATTTTGCTTCACTGCTCTGATTTTAAAGCAATATGACTAATTATAGTCACATAAGAAAAATCTCACAGAGCAACTTGACTGGCAACCTCAAACACTCACATGTGCAGGAACAATTCCAGGGAACCCCAACAGCAGCTCATCTCAAAAGACTTTCCTTCAGGCATGCCTGAAAGAAACAGTACTCAATATTTTTACATTCACCAAGAGGTCCAAATGGGTGCACAACAGGCGATCAGTGGGTCCATGAGTTTCAATCTCAGTATTTTGTCTCCAGCCATGAATGCTGCTACCTAATAGCCACTTCCCATCCAATCATCCATGACCTTCAGATTGCAGCGTACACTTCAGTTCGAGGATACCTCAGGGGAGACGCACTTAGCTGTGTGCCCACTTGAAACAGTTCAGAGTTCCAAAGTCTGGTGTTCTTGTCAATGCACAACTCCAAACCCAAGCAGACAGCAGTGCTACAGATTGTCCAGCCACACCATGGTTTCACATTCTGCCCGATATAAAACCTTCAGCACTGGTGCTTCCATTCATCTGGAGGAGAGAAGGACAAAGAAGCAATAATGCAGTAAGAGTCTGTTATGCTGTATAGTGCTCATGATATATAGCTTAATACACATTCCGTTTTCTTCCAATAGTCAAAACATGGTAGATACTCAGTCATCTAAATAAAGCAGTCCTCTTTCGGAATAAAGCTATGTGCAAAGTCTCCATTTGCTATGGATTTCCTGACAGCTAAGTCATAAGTACAGCCACTATGGAACTGGAGCACTATTGTTAGATGCTACAGAAGGCAGACTGGAGATGAACTGAACTCATACTTGCAGCAGAACTCAAAAGACATGCGTGTTCCACCTCAAATCAATTTAATATGTTGGTACCTCAGGTTAAAAACTTACCCTAACAATTTACTAATCTCACACAGGCAGAAGAACAGAGCAGGAATGTGATTCAGCTGTGATTCTGAGCTGAGCTTCAGAAAAACTAAGAACTGGCTCTCACTACAGGTAGAGCAGCGTTTGAAAGTCCCATTCACATAGTTGGAACGCAGGTCATCCTATAAAGTGGTTTAAAACAGGACCTGCTATGGGGGCTGATGGTGGAAATATATAATGTTTGGAAGTAGTTTCAGATTATCTTAAAGCAACAGTAACAGTAAGGATGGTGACCCAAGAGAGCACAGCAGGCTAGCTGACATTCTCTTGCCAGCTGCAGAAAGAGCATGTTATAATTGGGACTCACCCTTCAGTTACACCTTCTTTGCAAGCTGACCTAAGCCCAGCCTCTCTATTGTTGCTAGCATGGTTTTATTCCTGATCATCCCCAAGCTGAGCTGCCAGCACCCACTGAAGTATTTGTACTTCTCAGATATAAGCAGAGCAAGGCCTAGACAACTTGCAGTTCACTAAGTAGACACAAACTGCAGGTGCAATGACTGTAAGGGAAAGCTATTATTTCCAAAATCCCACCCTTCCCAGCAAAGAATATTCACTGCTTTGCATAACAAGAAACAGAACTGTCCCTCAGACACATTTCTTATTCAGCAAAACAAGATTAAGGAGGACACATGGGGTTTTGCCTTACTGTACCTTTGTTCTTGGAATGGGGTGTCCATGTCCCACAAATAATTAGAACTGTCCCTGGGCTGTGCGGCTGCTACTTCTCAAAAAGGCTTAGCGAGAGCTTGCTGTATTTAGGGTTTTGGTGTGAACTGAAATGGGGGGGGGTCAGGGCTTCTCTCAGGGCTCACTTGGAACAAGGGCTGATCACGGTCGGGGTGGGTGGGTAAACCAAGGCGACGTTCACTCGCTCATTGCCATTCTTCGGGCAGATGATCTCTGTCACTCCCTCTGGTCGTGGCTGACTCAGCAACTCTCCTGTAGGAGGAAAAAGAACACACACTGAACATCACAAGACGCATGGTTTCACTGAGACCCAGAGGGGAACATCACCAAGCGTCCTAGGAGGAAGTTTGTTTTTTAACCCATCCAAATTCTCCTCTGTGTCACCATGGCAAACATCCTGGTGAAGAAGTTGCTCCACACAAGGGCAGCATCTGCCACTGCTCTCCTCCCCTCCCTCACATTACCACAGACTGACCCAGGAGAGCAATCGGGGACCCCCTTCAATTGACAATGTCTAGAGACAGGCTAATGAGGCACAGGCTATGGAGTAGGTGTTCCTAATTGGGATCTGGGGTCAGCTGGGACCTGAAATTTACTTTCCAGAGCTCTGTGTGAATGAACCACACTGCAGTCAACAAGGTAACTGGCAGATGGCTGGACAGAAATTATTATTCATGGGTACGCAGTACAGCGATGACACTCTGCACCCATCCCCCAGCCCCCGCCCCCCCAGAAATGCAACCCAAGGCTGGAAGAGATCAGTATCAGTAAGCAGCAGTGTTGTATATAGCCCACAATGGCCCTTTGCGCTGTGCTCATTTCCTGCACCAGCCCTTATTTGGTTCATCATACAATGGCAAAGCATTCGGCAGCCACACATTTCTAGAGGAGTGCTAGCCGGCACGCCAAGCTTCGCTTCAACTGCTCCCCCCCCGCACACTACTGAAATACATTTTTCATTTGTTTAACGATGATGGGAAATGGATTACACCAGACATGTCTTGCATGCGTACTCATCCTTTAAAGCCTCTATTACTTGCCACTATCAGAGACAAGGTGCTGGATTGGACTGGATTGGATCTGACCCCAGTATGGCTCTTAAATGTGGCTCTGGATTTGTCCCATTACCAATGTCTAAGCTACAGGATTCAAGGAAGGGCCTCAAACCAGCTGCAGTCAAGTGAAGAGACGACAACAAAAATAAACCAAATGACACAATCTTCAACTGTTAAACCCGAGGACGAAGAATCCATTCTAGCAATGTCTTCCTCCTTTTACTTAGGGTGATGCAACCTTTAACACTGCTATTAGGGACCACTTTCTGCATTCAAACCTATACCACAGCAATTTCAGAACTGGCATGTGAAGGGATCTGCTCTTCTAGAGCTGCTGGCTGGTCACTGGGTGCCACTTCCTCTGCATTTTCAGCTGCTAAAATGAAGAGGCTGACAATGCATTAAATGACTTCCCCAATTTTCTTTTCTTTGTAAGACACTTCTACAGCTGCAGTGGGAATGTTACTGGCACTGCTACCAGTAGAGGTCCATGTCATCTTGAATGGGAAGGAAGTTGTGCGTGTGATGTGCTCTCTATTCAGAGACTGTGCAGGGCATGGAAACCCCAGATTTAAGCCACCTAGTTTCTGCTGCATCCCCTGGCCTCGAAATCTTGGTGGTGTTTGTTATTAGTGTGTTCAATGTCTCTTCTATGTTGTTTAAGTAAAAAGAGACTAGAAAAGAAAAGCTGGTAAGCTCACAGTAGACACTCTCAAAATCTTCCCGGTGAGGCAGGAGACATTTTACTTTCCTAGGCAGTTTGATTTAAGTAATTTTGTTAGGGAGGCTGGATCAGCTTCTAAATCTGAAATACGCCCAAGTCAAATCTTGGGGTATGTTCAGCATCATATCAAATCCTTTTTTTTTCAAGACTAAACTAAGGCTAGTCTTTACTCTGAAAGAAAGCAGTTTTCTCATAACCATGGTTTTATTTTAACCACACAGCTAGTTTCTCACAGGTGTGTGGGTGTACCCAAAACTGTTCAGTTCTCAAGGTTCATGTCAGGCTACACTTCAGCAATACATCCTGCCTAGACATTGCTCCTGATTTCCTACATATGTGCATTTCACAGTGAAGAGAAAAAAACGTTACCCAACTGAAACAGCGTAATATTGTATTGGGAAATCTAGCTCAAGTTTCATCAACAAAAGTCAGGTTAGAAAGCTATGCCTGGAGTAAGAGAGAGAGAGAGATTAAATCA